TAGTTGGGAACCATTTCATCCTGCAAGAGGACAGACTAATTGGATTTCAGCACTTCTGGAGAAAATGCAGCATTCCACACTCCTTTTCTTCAGACCCAGAAGCCAAACCACTGAGGTCACTGAGCCAATAACAGCATTCATCTCCAATGTCCCCAGAGGCACCTCTTCCTTTCACAGTAGGGAGTGTTCCCTGTGGCTTGCGGTCTCATAAGTAATGGGACAGTAGTTCACCCCTAGGGTTGAAGACAGCCAGCATTTCGGTTAATGGTTGAGGTCTGAAAAGATTCTCATTATAAACTTCGTAGTGAGCTGACCCCTGAGTTAAAAGAAGTTGTATTTCATCAGTGATTCTTACAGTGAATTCCTGGTCTCCTTCCCCAGCTCATCCTCCCCCAGCTGAGTGGAGAACCAGACAGGGGTGTTATGAGTAATTCTGCTTCTGTGGTGCTGTAGACTATTGGAGGCATATTCGTTGAGAGGATGTTCATACACACCTCATGCCCAATGCCATGCCCAGCTCCACACCACCACCATTCCAGGTGGAAATGGAAGCCACTGTCAGCACCCAAGCTGTTATTCTCCTCTTGTTTTCAGATGCTGTGGGGGATGCCTGCAGGCCTCAGAGTATGAGAAAACTGAGGACATTGGAAGACTAATTAGAATTTGAATGAATCTTTTCTTCTGTTTAACTATCAGCAAACACCTCTTGGCTGATAGAACTTCACCACAAAAGGGGCTTCGATTTCCCTGGTTAACCCTTCTTAACCAGACAAGGAACACTTGTGTGTGCATGTGTGATGGAAATCCTGGGACCCACTTGGAGGAAGCTCGGAGTGTTTTAGAGAGTGCCTCTGTTCCTGGCCACCTGCCTTATGTAGATCTGGTTCCATTTGGAAAGTGAAGATCCATTTTGGTATATTTCTTATGTAACATTCCCACAGAAATTTCTAAAGAACAATGGTCACAGGAAATCATTCCACAGCAACCCTATTCATCTTAGTGGGTTTGACACAGTAGCCAGAGCTCCAGCTGCCTCTCTTCCTCCTGTTCCTGGGCATCTCTGTGGTGACAGTAATCGGGAACTTGGCCTTGGCCCTACTGACTGCTGTCAGCCCTCCACTCCATACCCCATGTACTACTTCCTCATCAGCTTTTCCTTCATCGATCTCTGCTACTCTTCGGTCATTACCCCCAAAATGCTGGTGAATTTTCTAAGGAAGAAGAATATAATCCTTTATTCTGAGTGTATGACACAGCTCTTTTTCATTATGGTCTTTGTGGTGGCTGAAGGTCACCTCCTGACTGCAATGACATACAACCACTAAGCTGCCATCTGCAACCCGCTGCTCTACAGTGTGATCATGTCCTCTTGGGTCTGCTGCCTGCTCATGCTGGTTGTTTTTATTCCTGGGCTTTCTCTCTGCCTTGTCCCATACGTGAGCCATGATGAAACCATTCTTCTGCAAGCCCCACCTCATCAGCCATTACTTCTGTGATATCCTTCCTCTCCTCAACCTTTATGACTCCAGTACACACCTCAATGAGCTTCTGCTTTTTGTCATTATGGGATTTAACACCTTGGTGCCCATCCTAGCTATCTTCATTTCCTACGCCTTCATCTTCTACAGCATCCTTAGCATCCAGTCCTCAGAGGGCCAGTCCAAAGCTTTCAGAACTTGCAGCCCTCATCTTGTGGCTATGGGGGCCTTCTTTGGTTCTATCACATTCATGTATTCCAAGTCCCCTTCCAGTAACTCCCTAGAACAGGAGAAGGTCTTCTCAGTGTTTTACACAACAGTGATCCCATGCTGAACCCTCTGATATACAGTCTGAGGAACAAGGATGTGAAGGAAACAGTAAGGAAGATTTTGGTGAAGAAATGTTTTGCTGCTGGGAATTTATAGTCTAGAGAAATAAATAATTTTAATGAAAATATGTTTGTGTTCATCATGTCCTTTACCATTTAGCAGTCATACTGAAAGCATCAGGGGAAGAGCCACTACGTCTAGCACTCTGCTATGCTCAGATAAAATAACCAGACCTTGTAACAGAGCTTGGTAATTTTGTCAAAAGAATATTACAAGGTGCCTAACCAATCTTTGTGGTGTTTTATGGATGGGATACAAATAGAGGGATTGATACCAACAGAAGGAAGATGAGCAACTTCTGAGAAGATTGTTATTATGAGTAAGAGTAATGACCATTTATATCATGCCTAAAAAATTGGACACAAATTTATCTCTACTACAAGTATAACAGGTGTGGAATGAGGTCCAGAACTTAGGGGTTTTGGCTAGGGTTCTCTCCAAACAAGAGAATCCCCTCCCCCAGGAATATAGAGAAAAAAAAACCAAAGCCTCCACAACCTGGCAGGGGGGAAGGGAAAGCACAGCAGGGCCATATCTAAAGAACTTAGCCAGTATTTTAGTAATGTTAAGTAGTTGTGCCTGCCATGTTGGAAGCCAGGAAGGTGGGCATGACCCTAACTCTGTGATGTAGCTGGAGGGGCTTGCTGCACCTGCAAGAGAGGCTTGGAGGTGGCTCCTACTATTACAGAATGGACCTGTGGAGGGGTGGAAACAAGATAGTGTTACTGAATGGACACCCTTCTCTCCTAGGGTCCCTCTATACTAGGTTCACCTTATCCACCACCCTTAGGAATTATGGCTCTCATTGACAGAGTCTGGTAAAAAGAAAAGGAACTGTTTATTCAAAGGTTAATCAGGTTTAGAGTAATGATTTAATGTCTTCTCTAAAATCCCAAAGTCCCTCAAACCACCCACAAACACACACAGTCCTTCCTTCCCCTCTTGCCCAATCAGGTTAGTCAGGTGCACCATATCTCAGGAGAAAAATACAAGTCCATGGCTTGTCCAGGCCCCAGCTCTTCCCAGTAATCTGTGCTCAGCTGGCAGCCTTCTGCAGTTCCCAACACCATCAGCTGTGTCTCTTGATCCAGTTCTCAATCCAAACCCACATGGCACCTCCTCCTGGCCCACCAGTGAGAGTCCTCTCACCCCTTTCCTTCTTGCAATGTTTCTCCTGCATTCTTGTAAACTGCTAAGAGAGAGCCCTGAATGGCTGCTACATCTTGCTTTCCTGTTTCCTAAGCCCCATGGTTAAGGGAGCCCCAAACCCAAGGAGTTAACCCCCAAAACCACATGTTTCAACCCAAAACCAGTGCTTCGCACCACATGGCTGCCGTGTATAGGTTTAAATCCCGGCAGGAATCTTCCTCTGCAACCCCATTTCTGACTCCTCCCACAATCAGTTACACCTGCCAGCACTCCCATATTTTTCTAGTCTTTCTTAGCTGCCATAGTAAATCCAGGCAGGCATGGGCCCATGGCATGGAGCAAACTGTCTCCAAGCTCTCACACAGACACTCTAACCAGGGGGAGCTGCTTCCCAGTTACATCATGGGTCGAAGTCACTCCTATCTTCCTGGCTCAAAGTATGGCCACAGCTACTTAACATATCTATGAAACTAACTAGCTGTTATAGATATGTTAAATAACCATTTCTGTGGTTATTTGGAAAACTGTTGATAAGCAAAATAACTCTCAATGGCCCTGCTCCATGTGTCCCTTCCCCCAGTTCAGACTTGTGAGGGTAAGGACATCCTATATTTTTAATATTTCTTGGACACCCTGAATTCTGGACCCTGTTACAAATCCCTCTTTGGGGGGGGGGGGCCTGGCTGCACCTTGTTATACTACATCATGGGTTCACACATGTCAGGACTAACAATGGGAGCCAAGAAAGGGAGAAGAGATCAGAGTATTGACAGGTGTAACCCTTTTGGAAGGAGTCAGAAATGGGGTTATGGAGGAAGAACCGTGCCAGGATTTAAACCCAGGCATGGCAGCCATGCTAGGACTTAACCAGGCAGCTTAGAAAGGAGAAGCCTCTTGACCATGTTGCAGCAGTGTGGGGTCTTGGTCATGAGGTTTGAAAGGATGCGGAAGGACCCCTACCAGCTCACCATTAGAATGTGGTGTGTTAGGTTAAGTAAGAGCAGGAGCCTAGCTGCACCAGTATTCTGGGAAGAAGCCAGAATACTGATGGGAATCTTCCCTGCTAAGCTACAGACTTCGGTTTCTTATCCTGAGAGGCAGTACCTCTGTCTGGCCTTATTTGGCAAGGGGAGGCTGGACTGTGTGTTGGTGGGTATTTTTTGTTTCTGAAGGGTGTGGGATTTAATGGCAGCATTCCACCATTATTCTTAACTTGTATAACTTCTAAATAAGTAGTTCCTTTCCTTTTCATAAGACTCTGGCATTAGGAGTCACAGTTCTTATCAGTGGCAGGCAATAGAGCCCAGAGCAACAGAGCCCAGAGTGGTTCCAGTACACAAGCACCAGAAGCATCAATACATAGCTGAGAGTTAGTGTGGTTATATCCAGATGGACCTGCTGTAAGGAGAAGTCCTCACTAGGTATGCTTGAGGTGCTTAAAATGTCTCCTTAGAGAGTGCTCACCGTGTGCCTTAATGTCCGTCTCTTCACAGACTTTCCTTGATCAATAGTTTAACTCATGCCCTCATCAAAGTTCACTCGAACCATTATCAATATAGCCTTGAAAACAGTGTTTCAAATTTAACTAGTCTCTGTCTCAAAGGTCAGCAACCTATGGCCTGTGGGGAATATCCTGACTGCTGCATATTTGTGTAACTGAAAATATATTGAAACAAGCTTTGTCCATTTGTTTATGTATTTTTCTATGGCTGTTTTTATGCCACCATAGCAGAGTGCAATATTTGTAAGAGAAGCCATACAGTTCTCAAAACCTAAAATAACTACTATCTGGGCATTTAGAGAAAGTGTTTGCTCATCTCTGGTCTATGGAATGGGGACAATGGCACAGGTTTTTATCAGGCAAAATTACTTCCCAGCTGTCTTTATTAAAGCAACATCTTTACAACTGCCATGGATACATGTTTAAAACTTACTTTAACAAACAGATGGGGAATTGAAAAATCATCTTCACTCACAAGTAGACTAGTTACCTCCTGATGAAACAATCTGGCCCCCAGCAAGTTTCTTCAGGGCTCCTTTGACATCTTTGTTTCTCAGAGTGTAGATTGTGGGGTTTAACATGGGGGTGACCACGTTGCCAAAGATTTGCACTGGGGTTACCAGCATCTCACTCAAAGATGGCTGGGTATAGATGAGGGCACAGGGCCCAAAAAACAGTGTGACCACAGAGAGGTGGGAAACACAGGTAGATGCTGCCTTGCGCCTCCCTTCAGCAGACCGCATCTGGAGAATTGCAAGGACGATGCAGATGTAGGAGGCAAGGATGAGGAGAAAACATATCATGGGTACAAGGCCAATGTTGGTGAAGCTCACTGTCTCAATGATGAAGATGTTACCACAGGCCAACTTGACTACAGGAAAGATGTCACAAAAGAAATAGTTTACCTCATTAGACCCACAATATGGTATTTGGAAAGTCAGTGTAGTAAGAACTGTGGCATGAAAAAAGCTAGTGGACCAGGTGCCAGCAGCCAGCAGGGCACACACTCGGCAGTTCATGATGATGGTGTAACGCAGTGGGTGGCAGATGGCAGCAAATCGGTCATAAGCCATTACTGTGTAGAGCCAGCATTCAGCGCTGCCTAAGAAGTGGTAAAAAAAGACTTGGGACATGCACCCACCAAAGGAGATGACTTGGTTCCTCATCATCAGGTTGGCCAACATCTTTGGGGTACTCACAGAAGAGAAACCAATGTCTAACACAGAGAGGTTACAAAGAAAGAAGTACATGGGAGTGTGGAGGCGAGACTCAGACATTACAGCTAAAAGGATGAGTAAATTTCCTAGTAGAGTGCAGAGGTAGAAGATCAAGAAGACCACAAAGAGCAGAGTTTCCTGACCCTCTGTGTGTGGAATGCCCAACAGGATGAACTCTGTAATCAAAGAGTGATTCTTTATCTCCATAGAAGTTTGATTTTCATTCTGGAAAGGAGAAAAAAAAGACAGTAAGTTAATGACCCAATGCACCAAAATCACTACTTTCTTTAAAGAAAAAGACAATGACAAACTCTATTAGTAAAAAGATAATTTTTATTGTGACTCAGACTGTAGGAGCAGCAAATGCCGCAGAAGGTTTGGTCTCTGGGATGAGGACTGCATGCAAACAACTTGACTGGTATATGGACAGGTATTATTTTACTATTATTAGATAGATAAAAGCAAATGACAAAGAAGTAAAAGCACTGAGGGTTGAAAAAGGCAGGAAAGACAAAGAAAAGAAAGGAAAACAAAACAGAAAAGATGAAAAAGATGAGACACATTTACTGATTATATCACATTTTCATAATATTTTTCTAATGAAGCCTTAATAACATTCTATAAGATAGATAAAGTTTTCCATTTTTATAGGTATTGAAGAAATTATAATTTGAGGAAGTTACATAACATGGAACTTTTAACATACAATTTATGGCAAATATAGGATGGAAACCCAAGGATTCTAAATTCATTGTAATATAATTAGAAAAGGAGAGAAAAAGAACTACAAAAATACAAATAAGACACAAATTAATATATTCTCTAAACTGAAAGAACCTTAAAAACAATGTACCTCAATCATTCATTTTTTAATTTATATTTCTTCATAAGCTTTCCTTTTTATTTTCTTAATTTTTATTGAATTTATTGGGGTGGCATTGGTTAATAAAATTATATAGGTTTCAAGTATACAATTCTATAGTACATCATCTGTGTACTATATTGGGTGTTGCCAATTTATCATTGAGTTCCTCCCTGACAATTTGTGTATTAACTTTACTCCTTTTGTCTACCAGTGTTCAACACTCCAGACAGTTACACAACAAGAAATGTTTCCAATGCAGTTCTCACTCTGTTTGTCAGTGCACTTATGCATCTTATGAACCTTCAAATCAACTTTCAGAATACTGTAATACAAAACTGAATTTTGTATTACAATTCAATATACATAACTGCAAAGAGGCTTTCACACTGGTTTCTGCTGTTGAGTACTGGAACCATTCTTTGTTTTATTTTGCTTGTACAAAAACACAGTTCCTTTCATATTTAGTTTATAGGTGTCCATTTCAAAACTGCACACTGAATTTTAATATTCACCTATCACAGCAGCTTATCAAAACATTTTTGTGAGTCTGTATTGTCATACCACACATTCTGTGTTCTTTCCAGCATGACCTTCCTTTAATCATCAAATCCCCTCCTGTTTGCCTTGAAGTTCATGCCCATAGAGACACATAACAGTTTTTACTTAGGATACATTGGTAAACAATCTGTCTAAAATGTTAATAAATTATCCTTTACTAAAAGAGTTAGAGATATTATACATTGTTTTCCTGATCTGAGTAAAAGAGAGATGTTAGATTATCTTTTTCAATTATTTCAGTTTAACTAATTGAGTGGGAAGAGTGTTATTTGGCATTGCACAAATGTACATACAAAAAATTTTTTAGATCCTGTGGGTAAAGTCAGTCACTGAGAAAACACAAATGGCCTCCAGGTACATGGAAAGGTGCTTGACATCATCAATATGTAAGGAAAATACAAACTGAAGCCATAATAAGAGACATCACTTCACAGCTATTAGAATCAGTAAACAAGAACTAGTAAGTGCTGGAAAGGATAAAGAGAAAATTTGGTATATCCACTGTTGAAAACAGTATGTAGGTTCCTCAAAAAATTAAATATTAAACTACCATGTGATTCAGCAATCTACTTCTGGGTATATATCTAAAGAGATAAAATATCCATATCTCAAAGAGATAGCTGCACCCTGATGTTTATTCCAACATTTTTTATAATAGCCAAGATAGAAAGAACCTAAGTATCTATGGATAGATGAATGGTTTAAGAAAATGTGAGAGATTTTTATATATTCATGAAAGAGAAAGAAAGAAAAAGGAAATTCTGCCATTTGCCACAACCTTAATAAACATTAAGGGCATCATGCTAAGTGGTATAAGTCAGAGAAAGACAAACACTACATAACCTCATTAATCTGTGAAATTTTTTCAAAAGCCAAGCTCACAGGAACAGAGTGAACCAGTGATCAGCAGGGCTGGGGTTGGGAAAGCAGGATATGGGGTGATGCTGGTCAAAGGGTGCAAACTTCCAGCCGTAAGGTAAGTGTGTGCTAGGGGACTAATGTCCAGCGGAGTGATTATATTCAATACTTTATTATATATGTAAAAGCTGCAAAACCCCCAGATTTTAAATGTTCTCACCTCATGCAAAAAAGATGACTATGTGAGGTGATGGATGAATTAACCATCTTATTGTGGTAATCATTTTATAATAAAGACATATCAAATTATCATGTTGTACACCTTAAAATTACATTAAGAAAATTGGGATAAAAATTTCTAAATAAAGTAAATGCTAAGATTATATAACTTCAATGCTGAAGTCTACCAAATGTTGAAGGACGAATTAATGCCTATTTTTGTCAAATTCTTTTTAAAATAATTGAAGAGGGAAAAACATTTCCAAACTCACTTATGGGAATAGCATTACCTTGGTACCAAAGACACACACACACACACAAACTACAGACCAATATCCTTGATGAACACAGACTAAAATATTTAACAAAATACTAACAAATTTATTAGCACATTAAAATTATCACACAATATGACCAAGTGGGATTTATCTCTGGAATGTATGAGTGCCTCAACATATGAAAGCCAACTAACATAATAGTACACCACATTAACAGAATAAAAGGGAAAAAAACCACATGATCATTTCATGTGATTTTGGTCTGGAAAAAGTATTTGACAGAATTTAATAGCCTTTCTTGATTAAAAAAAAAACTTTCAACAAAATTGGAACAGAAGAAATGTACTTCAAAATAATAAAGGCCACATTGAAAAGCCCACAGCTAATCTCATACTCAATAGTAAAAAACTGAACGTTTTTCTTTAAGATCAGGAAAAAGAAAAAAAAGTTTAGGAAAAAGGCAAGAATGTCTAATTTTACTGCTTTTAGCTAGAAAATTAGGGGAAAATAGAAAAAAGAGAAAAACAGCCAAATTGAGAAGAAATAAGTAAGTTGAAGAGGACATGATTATTTATAAAGAGAACATATCAATGATTTCACACACACACACACACACACACACACACACACAAACCCTGTTAGAGTTAATCAACAAATTCAGTAAATTTGCAGGATTTAAAAAAAATACAAAAATCAGTTGCATTTTTAATACACTAACACTATCTAAAAAGGAAATGAGGAAAATATTTCCATTTTTTACAATAGCAACCAAAAGAATAAAACCGAAGCAAACTTAACTATGAAGAAGAAAGTTGTATACCAAAAACTATAAAACATTGATGAAAGAAATGAGAGATGGAAACAAATGGAAAGGGATCATGTGTTCATGCATTAGAAGACTTAATTTTATTTAAATGTCCCTGTCAACCAAAGTTATCTGCAGATTCAATGCAACATCAAAATCTCAATAGCATCATTTACAATAACAATTCTAAAATTCATATGGAAACACAGCAGACCATGAATAGCCAAACCAATATTGAGAAAGAAAAACAAAGCATCACAAGTCTTGATTTCAAAATATATTATGAAGTTACAGTAAGAGAAACAGTATGATACTGGCATAAAAACAGACATATAGAACAGTGGAACAGAATAGACAGCCCAGAAATAGATCCAAGCATATACATTCCACTCATCTTAGACAAAAGTGTCAAGGACACACAATGAAGAAAGTTTAGTTTTTTCAACATATGGTGTTGGAAAAACTGTATCTCACTTGGAAAAACTATGAAACTGAAAACCATCTTGAATCATAAAAATGTCAACTAAAAATGGATTGAAGACTTAAATGCAAGACCTGAAATTGTAAAACCTAGAAGAAAACTTAGGGGAATGCTTTATGATAATGACCTTGACAAAGAATTCATGGCTACAACATTAGAAGTATATACAACACAAGCAAAATTAGAGAAATGGGATTACATCAAACTAAAAATAAGTTTCTTCACAGCAAAAGTAACAATCAACAGAGTAAAAAGTCAACCTGTGTAATGGGAGAAAATATTTGTAAACCATATGTCCAATAAAGGGTTAATCTTCAAAATATGTAAGAAATTCCTACAACTCAATAGCAAAACAAAACTAATAACCAGATTTTAACATGAGCTAAGATCTTGAACAGGCATTTCTCCAATGAAAGCATATAAATGGCAATCAGGTATATATAAAAATGTTCAATGCCAATAATCATCAGGAAAATGGGACTCCAAACCACCATGATGTATCACCTCACACCTGTCAAGATAGCTATTAATTACCTGAGAGACAGAGAGAAAGAGAGAGAGAGAGAGAAGTGTTACAAAGGCTGTGGAGAAATTAGAATCTTTGTAAACTGTTGGTGAAAATACAAAATGATGCAACTGCTATGGAAAATAGTATAAACATTGATAAAAAATTAAAAATAAAAATACTATATGATTCAGAAGTCCCACTTTGGGGTATCTAACCAAGTCATAGAGAAATTTCATATTTATCACTGTGCTGTAGGTAATATAGAAGATGTAGAAACCACCTAAATGTCCATTGACAGAATAGATAAAGAAAATGTTATACTTACATGAAATAAATTATTAACCTTAAAAGAGAAATTTTACCATATGCAATAACATGAAAGAACCTTGAGGATGCTGTGCTATGTGAAATAGGACATTTACAGAAGGAAAAATACTGTATAATTCTACTTACATAAAATATTTAAAATAATCAAATTCATGGAATTAAAGAGTGGAAAGTGTTTGCCAGAATCTGTGGAAAGAGCAAAATGAGAAATTGCCAATCACAGGCCAGTGCATTTCATTTAGGCAAGATGAATAAGTTCCAAAGATCTGATACACATAACATTTTACCTATAGTCAACATGCAGTATT